CTTGTTAAATTTAGTATGAACGTAACTAATAAATTTGAATTTTTAATTTACCTTATTTTGAACTTTCTGGTTTAGAGCAAGTAATATCGTGAAAGGGCAAGTCAATATAAGGTGCAATTTCTTTGTATAGTTCTTCTTGCCTTTTCAGAGAAAGTGGGCTGACTTCAATTGTAGAGAGTAAGGTGTTTGTGTTAAAAGAAAAAGAACGAATTGTAAAATTTTTGTAATCATTATCAAGATCATTCTTGTAAAAGACAACTCCAGGATTTTGTGAATTAAAATAAAAGTGATGATATTTTTGAATATTGGGCAGTTTTTTAAATGCTTCAAAATAATTTTTAAAATTATAATATTGAAATCCTTCCCCGTTTAAATAATGCTGAGCAATATTAAAATCGATTAAAGTAGAATGATTGATAATTGAAACTACATCGTCAACAGTATTTACTTTACTTTTTTGGTAGAAAATTTTAATTAAACCAAAGCAACCATCACAAATAAATTTTGTATGTCCAGGTATTATAAAATTCAATTCAACTTCATCATAAATATTATGATCAATTAACTATGAATAAAAGAATAACGAATAGTTATTCTTATTCTGTCCTGTACAATTATCGCACGTGATTATTAATTTGCTTTCTCCACGATTATATTTTTGAATTGCATGCCAAACCAAACTTAAAGTACAATTTATGCCTTTTCCTTGCTTACTGTCATTAGGCATTTCAGCTTCATCAATTACATAATTAGTTTGTTGTGTATGTGGAAAGTTACCAGTATTGCAGACTCCAAATAAATGCATCTTTTGCCAATTTTTAAAGTATAAATGGCCTATTTGCTGAGATGAGTAAGGGATTTGTATATTCTGTGCCCAATCATACGTGATATGCGCACTACCTTTAAAGATTTTAAAAGATACTTGAGAACTAACTTTGTTTGAATTACATTTTTCATCTTTAACCACATTCTTAATATTATTATTATAATGATCACGTTCTTTTTGTGCACGATTCAAATGAGCTATATAATTATTTGTAAGTTCTAATTTTTTTTCGTATTGCATAGCTTGTTGAATATCCATTTTTAGTGTTTTACAAGTTTCGTATAGATCGGATTTTGGAGACATAAATTGAAGTGACAGTATTAAAATTTTCCAAATTTTAATAAAAGTTGTTTCAGACATAACACGAACATCTTTCTCGTAGTTATTCTTGTAAGCTTACACATAATCAAAGTATACTGATGCATAACTAAAATTAGTTGGAAAAAACACAATTGGCATAGAAATTCAGTTAAAATGTCATCCAGGTGAAGGCATACCATGTATATTTGAATAATTTTTTAAAAATTTGAATAAATCATATGTTACATTATAATTTACTTCAATGCGTTTCATATTATTTGAAGCCCTACCAGTATTGCTGTGTATACGTTCCTCAAGACCATGTTCTTGTAGATGCCATTTAAGATTTTCTAAATATTTATGACTTATTCCAACAAGAGCTAAATATGTATTATGACAAACTGGAATGTCATTACTATAACAATAACCAAAATGCAAAGATTTTTTTTTTCATTAGTAACTTTTCTTGTATTTTTACTTTTTTGAAAGGCAATAAATTGCCCTTTTATAACCATATCACGCATGTTTTTATCCAGACTTTCAAATTCAGCCTGACGTGCAAGAAACTTTTCATAACCAATTTTTATGAAGCATGGTAGTTCAGAATGATATGAACATTTGCCTTTTTCAAAAAAAATTTGAATATTTAATTTTAATTCATCGTAAATTTTATCTTCAATATAACTATCTTCTACATCTACAAAGTTGAATTCATTTAATTTACTTAAAAAAATATCATCATCAATGTCAGATATCAGTTCAACATCTGACAAAGAATTAGATTCTTTATCACTTTCAGAATCTAAATGTTCTACAAAAAAAGTATTGTTTAAATCTTCTAAAGCGGCAATAATTATTTTATTTGTGCTACTGTTACTAGAATATATGTTATATTCCATATCTTTAAAAAAGTTTGCTAAAACTATCAAACATAAAAAATTTTTAGCATTTACATTCTTTGTCGTATTATTATCTGTTATGTACATATATACATATGTACGTATATGTACAGTACATACCACATACCAGATACATACTGTACATTGTAAAAATAGAAATTACGACCCAGAAGTACTGCAGTTTCCAGTGTAGTACAAATTCTGAAAATGAAATTCACAAAATAATTAGCTTTAGCATTAGCATTAGTAGGATCATCAAAGTTCTTCGAATAGAAACTTTTATGTTAATCATTATAATTACCCATAGTTTTATATATGTAGTAATTAGTAAAAACTGACAATTAGTATTGTTATTATTACATTATGTATGAAAACCTTCAAAGTAATAGTAGAAGTGTTTGACTCTGACTAGTTTAACCCTTAAACTTATAAAATCATTCATTGTTATCATATTTCGTTGCATAATTTCTTGTCTCTGTGACTCTTGTATAACTATTAAATCTTAGTCTGCTAGAAGAAAGAGAAAGAATGCATTAGTAATCAGAACCGCTTTTATATAAAAACTAGAAACTGATTAAATTGTGATTAACCCACATTGTTAATAAAGTATATGATCTAATTCGTAATCACATGATACCGTAAATCGAATTCACGATCGGTTACTAGCTGCAGCAACTACTAAAAGGAAAGAATAATAAATTCATCAGTAAAAGCAATAGAAAGAGCAAATTAACTCCTCAAAAGAATAAAAATATACTTATATGAATACAAAGTGCTACTACAAGCTGAATTCACTTTCATTACTCAGGTCAAGTCTTTTCATGCCTTGATCAAAGCCTTATCATCTTTAATAGTTGCAGTAGTATTGGTCATAGTGAGTTATCTTTTTTGACCTGACATCTTTTCCGACACACTTCACACTTTCTTAATGTACATATTTGGTATCTAAATTATTTGTTATCTAATGCACTTCACAACTTTGGATGGCTGGAAATACGAATATAATTATCGTTATGCATTGCAGATCAAATATCATTTTACCAATATTGATACCAAGAAAAAATTCTGAATTTATATACAATTTATTAATATATTAAATAAAAAAAAAGATTTTTAGAAAGATCAGACTTATAAGCAAATTATTAATATTAAATCTCAAAATCTGATTAGTTGGCACATTGCCACCTTTTGCTGTGAAGGGTCCCATATATAGGAATAGCTGTGCTATTGCCAGATAGAGCTATATAGTTAAAAGGTAATAAAATTTTGTAATAAGTAAAGATATAGTTAAGTTAGTTGGTAAGAAGTTTGGTGTAAAGTTTTTTGACATGTTCAAGCAAACTAATAGGTCTGATATTAGTTAGATTGCCATCAAAAATAGGCTTTTTGAAAATAGGAAAAATTTCTTCTTCTTTTTATTAATTTGGAATTTGTCCAGATGTAAGACAGTAGTTAAAGAGAGCTGTAATTGTATTAAGAAATAGTGTTTTAGCATGTTTAAGCATTTTATAGCTAATGCCTGATGGCCCACATACTTTGTTGTTAATGAGTTGGCTAATAACTTCAAAAACTTCTATTGAAAAGAATTCATTAAGTGCTGTTTAATACTATATAGGATAATATTAGATTTAGGTTAATATTCTTGTTGCCACATTGTATCGAATATTTGTGATTAGATGTTTTTAGAAGCTGTTCAGTTATCAAAGTGTTGTTGAATATGCTGTTTAATAAGAGTTAGTTTAGTAATAATGTTATTTTGTTCTTTTATATTCTTAAATCTAACAGGGTCTTTGTGTTGATTAAGTATACTATTAATCATTAATATTGGACTGTTTTGAAGTTTACTACATCTTTTGTTTATATTATTATTAATTTGTTCTTTTATATTTTTAATGTTGTCTAGGTTACAGATATGATAAAGTATTTTTCATTCAGTATTGGCTGCAGTTATCCAGTTAGATAAAAAATTAGGATTATAAGGCAAAGCAGGTATATTGAGATAATAAAAAGAGTTAAGCTAATCAATATCTTGATTGTAAGATGTAGACATTAAAGATTGGTTTTGAATTGAGGCTTTGACCTGTCTTATAATGTTGGCAAGTTTTTTAAAACATGAATATAGTTTAAATGTCTTGAAAGAAAAATGTGTTGAAAGTTGCAAACAGTGAATTTTTTGTTAAAAATATGTTATAAAGCAGCTGTAATAATGTTTTTTTGAATTTTGTGTCATAAAGCTTCAAGTGATTCTGTGATACTAGTTGTAGAAGGAGCCTTGTTAGCTTAAAGATTAGATGTAACATGATCAGCAAGAGCTTGCCAATAGTCTTGGTTTATTTTTTTGTAAGCAAAAGCTCTTCATTTGGTTTTAGTAATTGATTATTGTTTTCTAGTAATATCATAAAGGAATTCTTATAATAATATGAAAATTTTGTGATCACTGAGTGTACTTTGGTTAGCATCATCTGTATAATAAGAAGTTAAGTATTAAATAATGGAATAATTAGCTCAGATGTAATTAATGCAACTACTGTATCTGCTACTATACCAGGTAGAAGTTAAGAATTATGTGTATTTAGCTAGGATATAAATATTGTTATATTGAAGAAAATGAATAAGTTTGAGTTTGATTAATAATGATTGTATATTATCAGAGGCATTAAAGTCACCTATTATTATTGGTTGTATGCTTTTAGTATTTGATTCTTGAATCCATTGTATGATATTATTTTGAATAAGAAGTCTAAGTTGAAGATTATCACTAGGTAAATAAACTAAAATAATGTGAAATTTAAAGTCATGCTTAAAGAAGAGATCTATAGCAATAGTATAACTAAAGAATTAAAGTGTTTTATAAACATGTGATTTGAAATGTTTTTGAATTATAATTGCTATTTCAGCTTTACAGCTATTACTGCAAGACCAGTAATAGGTAAACTGCTAGGATCTAAAAAATTTAGCATTTGTATTGTCTTGTGCAATTTTAGTTTCTGTAATGCTAACTATATTAATATTATAGGATAAACAATAATTCTCTTAAACTTGTTGTTTTAGATTATTATTGTATTCTTGTGTGTTGTGTATACATATTGATAAATGTAATAGTTTATATAAAATAAATGTAGATGTTTCATCTATTGGTAGATGGATGGTAGGTTGTGTGTTGTGAGTATTAGAGAATATAAGTTAAGAAAGAGTCTTAGGTCTATTGACCGTATAATTAAATATAGAAGTAACTGGTATAAATAAAGATTTAAAAAATAGGTCTGTAAGAAACAATTAATCAAATAAGGCTAAGTGAATGTTAAATAAAGTATTGTTAGATGTTGTTAGTAAGAGTAGATGTTTGTATATTTTATATTGAAAAGGTTAAATAGTATAATATTTATGCAAAATAGAATCAGAAAGGTTAGTATATATATATAACTCAGTTTTGTTTTGGTTGATAGATATTTTGAAGCTATTTTTAAAAAAGTGTTTTTGAAGATAGAATAGAAAGTTTTCAAGTGTTATAGAAGTATGCATAATAGGTAGATTATGTAATTGTAGAAATTTGTTGTAGCATGTGTTTGATTCTGCAAAGAGTAAAGTGTTAGAGGCAAAAACTTAAGAGGTTGAGTTGTTTTCTATAGAATCATTCACTATTTGAAGCTCAGCTCGCACAGCTGTGGAAGATATTATAGCCTGTCCTATATATTGGGTCCAGCTATTATTAACATGGTTCTTTACATAAATAAGCTTTACCACCTGCTCATTTACATTTTTTTCTTATCAATTACTAGTGATATATCTCTTGGCAAGGTGGTGGCTACATCTATAAGAATAGTAAAAGATAAATTTATTAAAAAGAGTTTCCTTAAGGAAGAGAGATTCTTTAATTAAGAAGGATATTAAGAAGGATATTAAGTATGATATTTTAAATTTGTTTTGTAATATTTTGTTTGTCTCTGGGTAGACTGTTTCTCAGTAATAGGTTTTAATTTGTAAATATGTTAGTAATTTGTTGAGAGAGTTAAAGAATATTAAAACTCTTGCTAATTGTTTAGTGCTAGTAGGCTTAGAGGTAATAAGTTCTATTGCTTTTTGTTTGTTAAGTTTGTTAATGTGATAGTTTTGTGCTGTAATATTTCGGTATAAATTAAGATATAAATAAAAATAGTAGTTGTAACATTTGGGGTTGGTTAAAACATTGTTAATTTTGCAAACAAATTTTTCTATTTCTGTTACAAGCTTATTAAGAAAAGCGGTAAGGATTTGTTTGTTAAAAGATGCTTTATATTTACTATTTTTGTAGAATATAGATGGGTCAATTTCAGGTTGTTTTCAACTTTATTTTCTTGTTTTGGAAAGTCTGTATATAATTTTTTAAAGATATCATTTAGTAATTGTGAAAAGTTGCATCAAAGTTGAGGTTGAGAAGTTGTGGTAAATGGGTTTGTATTTTCTAGTTCTTTTCTTTTGTTTTTGAGTTCTGTTTTTTCTAAATAGGAACAAGTTTCTTTTTTACAAGTATGAATATGAAAGTTGTCTAATTTTATAGTTTTATTTTGATGTTTAAGTAAATTGTAGAGTTGTTGAAATTGATTTTAGTAAATAGAGTTTCTTTAAGATAAAGAATGAATTTTTGTCAGATTTGATATTTTAAGTAGTTAAATACTTTAGTTTCATTTAGTATTTGGGTAAAATTTTGATTGTATATTGAAAAAAATTTTTTAAACTATTGTTTTAAATAGTCTAAAGAGTTTGCAAGAGATGAAATATTAAGTTTTTGGTGAAAAAATGTTTTTGGAATATTAAAATTAAAATAAATAAATATTAAATTTGTTATTAGATCTAATTATAACATATTGTTTTTCTTTATTAAAGTCAGATATTTTTGATATAATATTAAATTTTTTAGGTTGGAGTTGGAAGTCTTTAGCAAATTTGATGTAATCAATTGCTTAATAGTTGTTTGAAAGATATAGATGAATATGAGCTAAATTAATGCAAAGTTGAAGCTG